AATGTCACCACTGTTGTCCCCACCCAGGACACTTACGTGCTGAGCTGTTTTGTCCGAGTGCCCCTCTCCCCACAGGGACCCTCCCAGAGCACACCCCAAGCCCCCAGGCAGAGCGTCCCTGCACTGTCCTGCTGCCCGCTGGCTCCCACCCCGTGTCTGGTGCTGACAGGTCAGTGCTGCAGGAGCTGTGTCCCCTGTCCCACGGCAGACATGTGCTCACACACAGCCCCTAAGGAGCCAAGACAACCTGCAGGACTCGGCCCCCCAGCGCTCTGCTCCCCCAGGAGCCCACAGCTTCTGTGCTCTCACCCTGCTCTGCACCTTCAGCCTCCCCTGCAGGGGCATGTGCAGCACCAGCAGATCCGTGGGGACCACACGGTGGGGAAGGGTCAGGACAGACCCACAGAAACAAAGGTCAGAGGATATGGTAAACTCAGAAGAGCCACATAAGGAACTCAGCAATGGTCACAGTTGGATTTATTACCAGGAGGGAGGATGTGAACTTGAGGAGAGTTTGCAGCTAAGATTTAGCACCTCTCAGTGCTCAGGCGATGACGCTGGAGAGGAGAGCTCAGCACATCGGGATGAAGGCTGTTCTCGCCTTTCAGGAACTTCCTGCTCTGGTTTCAGCTCTTTCTTTCTTCCTTCCTTCCTTCCTCTCAAGCTGTCCCCTCTGAAGTGGATGGTTTTGGAGACCAAAGGATAAAACAATTTGCTTCTCTGCTCCTGAAAAGGGGCTTTCAGCTCCCTGTTGTCATACTCCAAAAGCTCTCAATGGCACAAGGGGCAGGATTGGGCATTCCCAGGGCAGGTGCCACATCCCACAGCTCAGGAGACTTTCCTGGGCCCTGCTGGTGCTTCCACCTCCCCGCTCTTGCTCACCCACCATGGGCAGCAGCAGCTGGGGTCCTGTTCCTGTCTGCAAACTCCTCTTGCCCTCCAGCAATGCACTGCACAGTGAGAGCTGTCCCACAGGTTACTGCTGTCACCCGACATGTCACACCATGTACTGTGTGTGACACAGCCCAGACCTGCACACGAGGTCCCTCTCCACATCACAGCCTACCTGGATGGAGACACACTATACCTGCGTGTCAGCACAAAAATTTGGTGCTTCTCCTGCCCTGGGTCCCACAGCTACACTGACCTTAAAACCTCACCTGCCCCAGAGGTGTGCCATAGGTGACCCACACTGGATTAAGGTTATCACGATGGAAAAAACCTACAGTACTTAGTGTAAAACCCTCCTCTAACCTCTGGCACTGAACCAGCTCAAGGCTCTGCATGGTGAACACCAGAGCAGGGCTCTGGACCAGGGACAACTATTGCTCCCCCCCACCCTGCTCCCCAGTGTCTCTGTGTTCAGACACACTCCAGAAAAACAGGTTTCCTGTTATGTCCTTTGTCAAATACTGGTTCTTCAACAGAAAAGACAAAGTGGGATATCTAAGGCTTTGTATGAGCCCTCATTGACCCTGCATGTAGCTGGTCTCTGAGAATTCCATAAAATCACAGAATGACAGAATGTTGTGAGTGGGAAAAGACTTACAAGGATCATCCAGTCCAGCCCCTGGCCCTGCACAGACGCCCCAACAATCCCACCCTGGGCATCCCTGAGATCATTGTCCAAACACTCCTGCAGCTCTGGCAGCCTCGGGGCTGTGCCCATTCCCTGGGGAGTCTGGGCAGTGCCAGCACCTCTGGGAGAAGAACCTTTCCTTGATATTCAACCTAAACCTGCCCTGGATCAGCTCCAGCCATTCCTGTCCCTGTGACAGAGCAGAGATTGGAGCTGGCCCTCGGGATGAAGCTGTAGCCACTGATGAGATCTGACCTCAGTCCCTTCCAGCTGAACAGACCAAGTGCCCTCAGGCCTTTGTTTGCTCAGGTGAGGTCCCTGCACCATGTGGACAACACCCAAAGGTGAAGGTTCCCATGCCCTGTGGTGCCAGTGTCCACCTATACCATCTCCAAGGGTTCTGACTAGTACAAGCTCTGGCTCGGTCAGGGAGCTTGGCACAGGGTGTCCAGGAGCACAACCATCACTGCAGGAACCACTGACTCCAAGGTGGTTCTTTGGGAGGCTCAGATCCCACACACATCCCCTGGAGAACATCTCCCCCTGAGTGCTCCCCCATGGAGCTCTAGTTTCCTTGGGAGGCTCGGCCCAAGATGAAACCCCTCACACCACGAGCCAAAAGAGAGCCCTGGCTATTTTGGGGTGTGTGTCACATCAGGCAGTGGGGAGAGCACTGCTCTCCCAGTGCCACCTGCACTGGTTTCTCCTCCCAGAGCCCCATGTGCAGCCTGCAGTGAGCAGCCCCCACCCTGCCTGCACGCTGCCCCTTCCCACAGCGATCCCTGTTCCCACAGAGCTCCTGCAGGCCAGACTGGGCTCTGTGCTCTGTCTCACAAGGCAGGGAGGGAGAAGCCCCTTGTGTGCCTCGCCAGAGCACCATGCCGTGCCTGGAACAGGGTAACCCGAGCTGTGGCTTCCCAACATTCCTTGTGGCTCTAGCTCCCAAGCCAAAACAAAACCAACATTTTCCTTTTTTTTTTTTTTTTAATTCCCTCTTCTCCTCGAGGCCAAACAGGAGGAGGGGGTCCCGCACAGCACTTAGCCAAAGTTGCTTTGTCTGGAAAGCAGTTATTCCTATTTCCAGGTGTGTTCCTGCAGCCCCATGCCCACAGCAGCCCTTGGGCAAGCAGGGCATGTGAGGTGACACTGTGGGATGCACCTGGGAGCGATGCTGTGGCACCAGGGCACACGGCGATCGCACAGGGACGCTGTCTGCTCCTGGCTCATGGAAATCACTGCTGCTCCTGGAGGAGCTGGGGAAGCACTGCCGGGTTCCACAGACAGGGAGCCAGGCTGTCCCTCTTCAGAAACCTCCCTGAGGGCCATGCAGTTCCAGGGACAACATCAGTCATGTTCGGGTGTATCTCCACAGCCACATCAGGAGCTGTGGGGCTTCCTGAGGAATGTGAAAAAAGACCTGGAGGCTGTCCCCTACACAGTGTGAGCACAGCAAGCATGGCCCAGGTAGAAAGGAGGGAAACACACCTCGAGGCTGCAGAGTGGACACAGATTCATCCAATATTCTGGGTTGGAAGGGACCCACAGGGATTATTGAGTCCAGTTCTTAAGTAAATGGCCCACATGGGGATTGAAGTGAGCCCAGTTTGCCACTCTGATGAGCCAGTGGCATCCCCATCTGTCACCTTCACAGAGGCTCCTGCTATCCACACCACCCACAGCAGGGCTAGTAGCCATGGGACAATGTCAGGAGGGCACAGCTTCTCTGCTGTCACCGAGCATCCAAATCCACCACACCATGCCATCCCACTCTGCTACAGAGTACAGTGAAATCCAACTGGAAGGCAGGCTCACTCTCCAAAACACTGGGGCACAGGGACATGCTGAGCCCTGTCCCCAAGCAGGAAAAGTAGCAGGGAGCAGTGAGGAGCCCCAGCTGCCAAGGATGGCTGAGGTTTACCTTGGCTGGCTGCCCAACACCCCCCAAACTCACCTCTTGCTTCCCCTCCTGAACAGCAGCCCCAGAGCTGCAAATCCCAAACAGCTCTGAGCTGGCTTGGAAAGCTGCATGGTTTGCTAAAGCAAAGCTCAGAGCCCACAAGCCCATGGTGTTAAGGGACCATGCAAAGGTGCCAGCCCAGAGCAGGCAAAGGGACAGTATGGGCTGTCCCACGCAGAGCAAGTGCTGTGCAGTGTGGGCACATCAGTCCATTGTGCCAAGGGACTCCGGGGACAGCAGGAGAGGAGTGTAAGCACATTGCCCTCACCATAACACATCTTTTCCAGACTCACACACAGTGGACAGAGCTGTGAAATTTCTGTTACTCTGCAGCTGAGTGTGAGCAGAGTGAGAATGGGTGAGAGCGGGGTGAGCAGGGGAGGGGCTGCCAGCCTGGGTATCCTGCTGCCCGGGTGCTGGCATTAGAGATGCAGATTTAACAATTATAACAGTTAGAGCAGTGGGTCAAGCCCCATCGTATGAAGTTTAACAAGGCTCAGTGTCAGGTCCTGCACCAGGGTCACCACAACTCCCTGGAGCTCCAGGCTTGGGGCAGGGTGGCTGGAAAGTGCCCAGCAGGAAAGGCCCTGGGGGTGCGGGTGACAGCAGCTGAACCTGAGCCCAGGTGTGCCCAGGTGGGCAAGAAGGTCAGTGGCACCTGTCCAGGATCAGCCATGGTGCGGCCACAGGCCCAGGGCAGTGACCATCCCCTGTGCTGGGCACTGCTGAGGCACCTCCAGTCCTGGGGTCAGTTCTGGCTCCCTGTGACAGAAAACACACTGAGGGGCTCGAGCAGGGTCAGAGAAGGGAATGGAGCTGGGAAGGGGCTGGAGCACCAGGAGGGCCTGAGGGAGCTGGGAAAGGGCTCAGCCTGGAGAAAAGGAGGCTCAGGGGGAACCTTGTGGCTCTGCACAAGTCCCTGATAGGAGGGGACAGCCAGGGGAACAGGGCTGCTCCCAGGAACAGGAGCAGAACAAGAGGAAACAGCCTCAACTTACACCAGGAGAGGTTCAGATTGGCTACTGGGAAAATTTCTTTATAGTAAGGGAGGTCAGGCACCAGCTCAGGCTGCCCAGGACAGTGGTGGAGTTCCTGACCCTTGAAGGATTTAAAGGCTGTGTGGATGTGGCAGTTGAAGCTTGGCAGCGCTGGGTTAATTGTTGGACTTGAACATCTTAAAGGTCTTTTCTGAACTTAGTAATTCTGTGACTCTATGATTCTTTGCTGAATGGCTAACAAAGCAACTGCTGCCTCCATGATGGGAAAAAAATTACATTCATCAAGGAATGGGAAAAAGGAAGTGCTCTCCTGGTGAGCAGGAAATGTCACCAAGGACAGGGCAGGACCACTGTGAGGTGGGAAGTGGTCCCAGATGGGCTGGTACAACCAAGAAGCAGAGGCACTTCCCATGTGGGGAACATCCTCTCTGGAATTGCTAAAAGCTGCTCCTCAGTCACCAGGACAGGGAAAAAAATCAGAGATGTGCCAAATTTAACAGCAAGCAATGCCTTGTCAGTTAACATGACTTAATTGGTAAATTCCTAACTAATTCAAAAGTTCTGTGCTAAAATGTGCCACACTCTGCCACCCTCAGCCAGGCTACCATCAGATGGGGAGGGACCAGGCTCCCATCATTCTTGTCCCTGTGCCTGGGGCATAGGGAACAGCCTTGGGATGAGAGATGCCCCAGGGCTGGGTTTGAATATCCACAGCGCTGCCCACGGGACCGCAGCTCCTCTGCAGAGCTCCCACAGCGAGCTGCAGCCTAGGGAAAGAGTTAACGCTTCCCCGTTTCTGACAGTGTTATTCAATACATTATTGACGTTGAAAAGTCGTCACATTACAAGCCAGCAGTCCACGAGTATTAGGGGTAAAATAGACGCACGCAGAGACACACAGAGCGTGGGGCCGTGGGCCCCTCTGAGCTACGGTTACGGTTACGTTACCGCACACAAACTCCTTTCCCAGACTCGCTCTCTTCCCCCATTTGGGGCGAAACCGACTCGTCTGTTATTTGCATTTAATGCCACAGTGAATCCCTAAATCCAGCTCAGGGAATGGATTACTGAGGGGGGAGGGATGGCTGGACTGGGTATTTTCTCAGGCTTCAGCAGTTCTGATGCTCTATGAAATGAGGAATGGGACAGTGGTGCCGGGGACTGGAGTCTCCTCGTGGCTGCTTGGCCAGGCCCGTGTTCCCAGGCTGGATGGATCTCCCCAGCTGTGCTGCCTTCAGAGCCTCTCCCAGCAGAGCCCACATGCTCTGCCCAGCACATCCCGGCCCTGCTGCCCAGCACATCCCTGCTGGCTCTGAGTGCTGAGGTTCCCATGGAGCCAGGGCTGGCAGCTGTCTGTGCCGATTTCACAGAATCCTACAATGGAAGGGACCTTAAAGCCCATCTTGTTCCAGCCCCTGCAACGGGCAGGGACACATCCCACTGCCCCAGGTTGCTCCACAACCTGTCCAACCCAGTCTGGAACACTTCCAGGGATGGGGCAGCCACAGCTTCTCTGGGCATCCTCTGCCAGGGCCTCCCCACCCTCCCAGGGAACAATTCCTTCCCAATATCCCATCTACCCCTGCCCTCTGCCAGTGGGAGCCATTCCCCCTTGGCCTTTCCCTCCAGCTCCTTGTCCCAAGTCCCTCTGCAGCTCTCCTGGAGCCCTTTCAGGCATTGGAAGGAGCTCTAAGGTGTCCCCAGAGGCTTCTCCAGGTGAACACCCTCAGATCTCCTACCCTGACTCCAGAGCAGAGGGCCTCCAGCTCTCGGAGCATTCTTGTGACCCTTGGAACCATTAATTGCTGAACACCAACATCACAATGGTTCACAGGAACAGCTGTATTTCATTCCCTGTCTCTTCCTCCAGCCCACACCTCATACGTGACTCCAGACCCCATGATGGTGATGGTGCTTCTCTGGGGAGGTCAAGTCCAGCAGCAGGAAAAGAATATTTAAAAATAATTTAAGGAGTGTCATTGATCTGGCCAGTACTGAGGAGAGGAATCCCACCGTGGTACAGACTTTGGTCTGCCATGAGGCCAGAGCATCCCGAGGGCTTCAGGCTCCAGCCTTGGGCATCTCCACTGTATCAAGCCTACGGGAGCCCAAAATTACACCTTGTCCCTCTGCCCACCCCAGGTGAGCTGGGAAGGTCATGAGGCCCCACGTGATGGCAGGTAGGGCCCAGCAGATGCTCTGCCAGGGCAGGCAGGGTCTGGCAGCACCTGCACAGCACAGGGTCGGCCATGCACGGGGCAGAGGGGGCTGGACGGGCACAGGGAGCTCGCCAGGCACGATCCCTCTCTGCTCGTATTTTATTTCATCTCCTGATGGGTGAAATGTGTCCTTAATTTGTTCAGAAAGAAAAAGAGAGTGAGCTGCATTCTCACACCCCTAACGAAGACAACACGCAAAGCGCTTTCAAAGCCGGCGCCACACATACGACGCGCTGCCTTGTTCTAATTAGCGATGTCTTTCCTCATTAGCCACGGCCGTGCGTGCTCCGGGCCACGCTGCCTCTCGGGCGAGGGCCCCACGATGGCCACTGCTGCCCAGCAGCACCAGCTGAGCACTCCTGGCCGGGGCTGAGCGCTGCCTCTGGGCTCCAGGGCCAAGCAGGGGCAGAGCAGCACATCCCAGCCCTTCCCAGACTATCCGTCCCCAGAGGGCTGTTTCTGGCTTTGCCAACGTTTGAGAGAGAGGGGTGCATCTGGTTTTAATCTCACCCCTCGCGGTAGCTGTCACCATGGGTTTGCTGTCAGGGTAAAAGATGCCTTCAAACATCCCTGTGCCAAAGCAGCAGACATCGAAACCCCAGGCCACAGCAAAGCCCCAATGCCCTGGGCTACCCCGGGCTCTTCCCTTGGCCCAGTGGGCAAGGCAGAGGCTACCATCCCATGCCACTGCTCACAGGGCGGGCACAGTGAGCACAGGAGCCCGGGGATGTGGCCCTGGGGAGCACACACCCCCCTTTCAGCCGCTGCAGTCCCTGGGGACCCACGGCAGCACCCTGGGCTGGGAGCACCATGCCAGGCCAGGCACTGCAACCCCCAGGGCCGCTCGCCTGACCTGGAGCACGCTCCAGCTGAGAGTCTGTGCTCCAGTTGCCTCTTCCCTTCTCACAAAAAACACAGGGAACCACAAGAACCACAGAAACATCTCTTGTCCACAGCACAGAGCCCGTCTCTCTGAAGGGCAGGGCACGCTGCTGGGGGACTGGCCACACCACTCACTCTGCCCAGGCTCCTGGAGAGCCGCCAGCCTTTGGAAGCAGCTGTCACATAAAAGCAAACACTGAGAGCCATCGCACTGACAGCACAGCAGCTCTGACACCCGCTCAGCTTTGACGTTGCTCCATCCTGGTTCAGTCCAATGGTTCCCCCCACAGCTCCTCCTGCATGCCAGGAGCCTCCTCCTCCTTGGGATCACTTGGGATGCTGTGACATCACCCTGCCATGCCACCGTGACAGAGTGACATCACAGCTCACAGAGGCAGGCAAATCTACCCCCTTCCCAAGCACGGGGAGAAGGGGAGAAAGCAGGGGAAAAGGCACAGGATGGTGTGGACATCACAAAATCATGGAATCATTATGGCTGGAAAAGCCGTCTAAGATCATCGAGTCCTACCACTAACCAAGGACTGCCAGGTGCCCCACTGGACTTTGTCCCCAAATGCCATATCCACATGTTTTTTGAACACTTCCAGGGATGCTGACTCCAGCAGTGATGTCAGCAGAGGCTGGAGCAGAGCAGCACCCATGTTGTCCAAGCAGGAACTGACCTCACCCCATCCCCAGGCCATGTAGTCATCCCACTGAAGGAACCTGCAAGGAAAGGGGTTGGAAGCAATCTTGGAAGGCAGGTAAGCATTCCCCAGCTGCACTTGGGAATGCCAGCCAACACCAGTGTAGGAAAATCTGCACCCCTTGCCATGTCCTGGATGTCCTGGCAGGCACAACTCCTCCTGCACTATGCCCACCTGGAGGAGAGGCCAGCTCCAAAACATCTCCAGCCCCATGGGCCATGTCCTGTTCCACACCAAGGGGCTCCAAGGGCATCCACATCTCAGGGGCATGCCACCCCTGAGACTGGCTGGGGTTTCATCCTCCAAATGGGGCAACAACCCAAGAAAGCCCAACAGCATTGCTGGAATTTCTCAGATGGGCTGAATCAGAAGCAGGACAAACAAGGTCAGTAAATGCCAACTGGCAAATACAGAGCCTGGCTCTCATGAAATGCTCTTATGGATATGCATCCCAGTAATCAAGATAAAAAGTGCAACAGGACAAGATTAATTGCATTTCATGGACTGGTGTGTCCCCTCCCTTTCTCAGTCACTAAGAAATGAGTCCTTCCCCCAGGCTGCCACCCTCACAGCAAGCCTGGGAATGGCTGATGGGCTGGGAAGCAGCTCCCGGCTCGTTGCAGTGTCCTGGCAAAGTTGGTAGCAAAGGGCTCCAAAGCACAAAACCCCTGACCTAGCTGGTTCCTCTGCCTGGGCTGAGCAGCTGGAGTGGGGCAGGGGGAATGGACAACCCCGAGCACCTGATGCTGCTACATGGATATTCTGCACCTGGGGACGGAGCAGCACTGCCAGTGCTGGCACCTCACACTCCCTGAGCAGCTGGAGTCACACAGGGCAAGGAGAGGTCGCAACTGCCAGGTCCCCCATCCAGCTCCCAGGATGAGCTCCAGATCTCAGTGGGCACAGGATCTGGGAATAGTGCTGGCAATCCTGATAGAAAAACTGAGCCCAGGCAGCACCTGCCCTGAGTGCCACGGCAGAGGTGGCCAGAGGGAGGGTGTGAGTGCCACCACTCCGGAGCTGGACTCCGACTCCCAGAGACTTCCATTGTGCCCTTGGGTTTGCCGCCTCATCCATAAGCAGAAGAGTTTTATGGATCTCAGAAACGACTGGCACGACCATGTCGGGAACAAGTCTCTGGGAGCTGCGTCCCTGCCGAGCCTGCAGACCGGAGGCTTGGAGGTGCCAACTGCCCCAGTCCCGCTTAATAAGGTGTTAACTCCCGGCCTAATTGCCACCACTTAATATGTCAACACCCTTCACCGCGCTGCTGCTGAACCAGAAGGTTTGAACCAGCACAGCTCAGCGCACACTCACACGTTTGATCCTCGGCTGTGTTTTCTTTCCACCTCCCTCCCTTCCATCGCTCCCGGGTGGGAGCACAGAGTATCCCCATCTCACCAAGTGCCTCTCCCCAAGCAGGGGAGCATCTCCCCTCCAACCATTCATGTTCAGCCCTCCCTCCTTCTCCATGCACCGACAAAGGGAACTTCACTTCCAGCATCCTAACTTTGCACAGGGAAATAAAAAAGGCAGGAAATTAAAAAGGTTATTATTACAACAGTAACAGAGCTGCAATGCAGAGCTAGGATGTATATAAAATATCTTCTAAAATGACATGCCAGCCCAGCCCCACCTCAGAAGGGCAGGACACGCCGGTGCTGGTATCCGCAGAGCGCGGGATCAACGCAGAAGGCAGCGCACACGTTTGCCGTGAGCACAGACGTGTCCTTCCAGTTTTTTCTAAGATTTTCCCAAATTTGGCCATTACCGTGTTTTATGTCTATTCACGTCACTCCATCTTTTGCTTTTTAAGGCACAGAAGACGGAAAAACAATAAAATCAGCCTCTGAGTTTAGTCCTCTGCCCCATTCACAGACAGTTTCAGCAATTTATTTGAGGCTGATGTCATAAATGCCTCTTGCTCACATCCTAACAAACTGGCAGCACAGAACTCTCCAGAAAAGGGCAATTCATGCATTATTTTTTCTTTTAAAAGCCTACTTCCTAAGGCATGCAAAGTGGGATACAGCTCCCATCCTTGCAGAGGTGAATAGGAGGGAGGGAATGGGCTCGGGATTGTGAGACCCAGCACCAATACTTACACTTGCAGAGTATCTGCCCAACCTCCTGAGGCTCAGCCAACACCTTCAGCTTTCAGCAGAGCAGAAAATTCACCTGGTCTCCAGCTGATCCAGCCTCCCCACAGTTCTCTTTCCAAGCACTCCTCTGCAGAGTCCCAAGGGATGAGACGATTCCATCCTGGTATTGTAGGCCCCTGGACTCAGTGTGGAAACCCATTTTGGGTGATCAGGCTCTTTCCTCACCCACCTCACTCCCTGACTTGGAACCAGGGAAATCTAAGCAGTGCTATCTCCCCATCATGACCTCCACGGTCTCCCTGCCTGACCCTGGCTTAGAAGGTTACTCCAAGGCTTGCAGAGTTTTCTGTGCTATGGACTGGCAGCAAATTCACACCCTGAAGTTACAAGGCAGAGCTTCCATGCAGATATTCCCTCTCAAAGCTGGGCTGACCTTGGGAGGCAGAGGAACAGGCTCCAGCCATGTCTGCAATGATGCTAATGAGATGGACATTGATCTACATGCGTTGGCTTCACCCTTTGGAGACACACCTGGGCTCTCCCAGGACTCTGCCCTGGATGGGTGGAGGTGAGGGGCCACAACCCTGGCTGTCACAGCAAGCTGTGGCCTGGGGCACAGCTCAGCCTGGTGGCAGCCCTTGAGCCTCTCAACTGCACATGGACACACACCAAACCTAGGAGAGGTAATTTTCTGCAAGTTACGGCTGTCTTGGTTCTCCCACCCCTTCCTCACCAGGGCAAGAGCCAAGAGCTGAGCAAGTCAAAGGGAGTCCTTTGCCACGGGTACCAAACAGCCACGTGCAGACACCCCAAAGCCTGGCAGACCCTCTCACGGCCCGGGTGGAGTGGTTGAGATGACCTGACCCTCTCATTACACCCTTCCAGGGCTGGTCCCATCACTGACCCACCAGAGACTGAAGGAT